TTTTTCAAACTTGTTTCATAGATTTGAATCTTGTTTATTTCAAAACTTATTGTCACAAGACTTTATCATTATCTTAAAATTTGATACAGGCGAAAGGCCCATGATAGCACTTATGGACGTGAGGAATTTTCTTATCTGTATTTGAGGTTTTGTCGTAATTAGAAATCTTGATATGAATTTTTTGATGGTCATCCTTTGATACGTGAATGTATCCACGTATAATTTCACAACTTTGTTTGCATTATTACTTTCCAGAGCCTCATGAAGCGGGAATAATTAGCGAAACGTCGTACTTATGACAATTTAATCAACGTTGTAATTATTTCTTCAACATTCCTTGACCTTCCACCGTAATTACTAACATCACGGAGATAAACCTATTCATTGGTAATACATATCTTCCGGGTTGCGGGGAGAATGTCGTAGATGGTAACTCATAATTAATTCTTACACAGTATCTGTTTGATAAAGCCAAGGAGGCTCTAGTGACCATAACTAACTGACATCCATTCAAATATTGTTGTGTCTCATTTTACCACTCGTTAGGTGTAACCATGACTTGTATTCAGACCTTCCAAATCCTTGCCGGTCGCGTTAATTCTTTGGGCCTATGAAATCCTCTCCTTCTTTTTTCTTGTATCCCGCCCACAATAATTATAAACATTATTCTATAATTAAATAAATACCCGATTGGAGAATATGAAAATATGTTAAATTGTCTCTCTATATTTTTCTACTTTTTTTTGTAAAAAAAATAAATTTGGACTGCCCGGGACTCGAACTCTGGACGTGTTCCGTTATGGCTAAAAAAATTTCCGAGGGTTTCATTGGCATTAGAGGGGGTAATAAATACAGAATCAACGTTCACTTGGCCGAAAAATACGATTTTGGCGAAAGTCAACTTTCCCCCGGTAAAAAACCCAGATCTGACACTTTGCCCCCGAGTGAAAAAATTTTTTTTTTATTTCGACCTTTTTCCCACCTCTAAGGGTATCATTGGAATCAGAATCGCGAGTAGATGCAGAATCAACCCTCACTTGGCGGAAAAATTCGATTTTGGCGAAAGTCGACTTTCCCCCGGCAAAAACCCAAGATCTGACACTTTGGCCCCGGGTGAAAAAAAAAATTTTTTATTTCGACCTTTTCCCCACCTCTAAGGGTATCATTGGAATCACAATCGCGAGTAGATGCAGAATCAACCCTCACTTGGCGGAAAAATTCGATTTTGGCGAAAGTCGACTTTCCCCCGGTAAAAACCCAAGATCTGACACTTTGGCCCCAGGTGAAAAAAAAAATTTTTCATTTCGACCTTTACCCCACCTTCAAGGGCATCATTGGCCTCAGAATTGCGAGTAGATGCAGAATCAACCCTCACTTGGCGGAAAAATTCGATTTTGGCGAAAGTCGACTTTCCCCCGGCAAAAACCCAAGATCTGACACTTTGGCCCCGGGTGAAAAAAAAAATTTTTTATTTCGACCTTTTCCCCACCTCTAAGGGTATCATTGGAATCACAATCGCGAGTAGATGCAGAATCAACCCTCACTTGGCGGAAAAATTCGATTTTGGCGAAAGTCGACTTTCCCCCGGTAAAAACCCAAGATCTGACACTTTGGCCCCAGGTGAAAAAAAAAATTTTTCATTTCGACCTTTACCCCACCTTCAAGGGCATCATTGGCCTCAGAATTGCGAGTAGATGCAGAATCAACCCTCACTTGGCGGAAAAATTCGATTTTGGCGAAAGTCGACTTTGCCCCGGTAAAAACCCAAGATCTGACACTTTGGCTCCGGGTGAAAAAGAAAAATTTATTTCGACATATCTGCCACCTTTGAGGGTTTCATTGGCATTGGAGGGGCCAATAAATACAGAATCAACATTCACCTGGCGAAAAAATTCGATTTTAGCGAAAGTCCGTAGAAACTAAAACTTGTTCTTCACAATTTCGATACTGTTGCTTCCACCACAAGAATCAGTAAACAAAATTCAGCCTCAAGCATAGCTACAGAGTGTATGCTAATGAACTCTGCATTCACTAATAGATTCTCTCAACCGAAAATACCCTGACCCGTTTGTTGATTGCAGAGTTGATTTCAACACAATCAGCCAACTTCCCCCGCTCCCTTTTCCACCCCACCGCCGCCAAGAAAAAACCCAAATCCACCCTTTCCCGCAGAAAACGCCAGAAGATGCCTCACCTCCCCCCAAATCGTATCCCATCGACTGCAATTCTTCAGCGGAAGTCCTAAATTGATAAACCGCAGAAAAATCCCCTTAATTGGTTCCATAAGGACCCCAAGGACTCCCTCATAACCGATTCAAATCTGCGATATCCTGCACTCATCCCCCCCTCATCAAAACAGCTCAATCCTCCAATATCCCGCATCAAACGCCCGAGAAAACTCAAAACGCTCCATAACTACAAAACCTGAAACGATCGTTACATACGAGGTTGACTGGCCGATGATTGCAGCACACCACATGTGCCTTCCACAAACAAAAAGCCTCGAAAAAAAAAGAACTCGGAAAACAGTCGCAAGAATCCTAGAATCCCCCCGAGAACTAACACAAAAACTAGCCTCACAACTGCCAAGAGCCTCGTCATTTTTATTTACACACTCCCCACCCTTTATTTACCTTTTTTCCTGAGCATCCCATTACCCATAGCTGCCACATCGTGAGGAGTGCAGCCAGTGACGTGAATGAACGCATCCCAGAGTATGTCCGGGTTGCGTTTGCAGCAATGCCAATGAAAATAAAAATCAAGAGTCGTCGCTTTCGATCCGTCCACCGCGGGACGTCAGAGGAATTCGAAAAAAAACCGCATAAATGAAAAAAGAGGCGAGAAAAACCTCGGGAAAAACGAGACCGTATGGCACGCGTGCTTCGAGGAACACCGGAAATTACCCGAGTCATGATTGCACAAGTAATTGTTGCACCGTGAGCTCTCTGCTCGCTCTACTCGACCATTTTTCCCCTCTCCTCCCACTGGTACTCACGTCGACCCTCCAGGGAGTGTGCCCCATGATCAAGTTCATCCACACGCATCCGCTGCTGTCATGTGGGCTATCATGACTTGGAAAAGCCCTCGGTATTATTATACAAGCCCCGGTAATACCAAAGTTATCATCATCCTGGTGGCACAAGTTTAGCCGCCTCGCTTGGAGACGATGCTACGTATCTCCGGTATAAAATTCTTGAAATGAAACTACCGTACACCAACGGGTCGAATATACCAATTATGTGTTTATCCAGATTATCCTGGAGTAGAAGCTGCGCTAAGACTGAAGCGTGCAACTAAGGTTTTTCCGTGTTGGTGAATGTTTGTGGGTATGAACCGACACAGGGGAAATTATACTACTGCTGGCTGACCTTGTTGGCACACCTTGGAGGGACACAGGTGCATGCTGAATCGGTTAACAGGTTTTTGTTGCTGCTATTATGGAAGTTTTTTAGAACATACTCTCGAGGTGGTTGTGATTGTTTAGGTGTTCAATGCATTTGTCACTGTACTCGATCCGTCTGGCGGTGCTGATGGTTTTGGAATATTGAGACAAGTGTCGGTGAAATGCATGGGGCGAAGCTCTTGAACTAATTCGGTGTCTTTGACCTGCATTGACTGGAGGAAATCCGAAGATGTAATGGTACAGGGGAATAATTACTTTGTTGAGTGTACGTTATTATTGTTTTATTGAGATTGAGTGTTTATGATCTATGTAAACAAGAAAGACTAACTAGGCCGATGGTAATGATAGCTTATATAGATACTCTCTGTGGCCTCTTGATTTACGACAGTGGCGCAGCTTGTTATTTTTCAATAGCACTTAATATCTCGATGGTTGCTGTGTTGTTTGTCTCATTGAATTTGCAGAAAAATCATTGTCCATAAAAGTGATTGTTTCTACCATTCCAATGATTGGAATTATGCAAATTAATTACATTCTCTCATTAATATTCAGTTACACTAGTAAAAATTAATTGAAGACCAGGATCTCGCATACGATAATCCACTCGATAAGATAACTTCATTAAAATGGGAAAAATTCCCTGCTCCACTGGATGTACATTCAGTTTATCTCGAGTACTGGTGAATATGAGAAAAAAAATGAATATCATTATATCTTTGGATAGCGGAGCAGTGAGCGTGGTAAACAGCCTGAGGATTTGTTAGGGATATATAATTTTATTCATTCGCGAGAAGCTCATCCACCGTCTGTCTACAAACAACTCAAGTCAAAAGCCATTTTCACCCGAGTTTTGCTTGAGAGAGCCATCCTAGAAAAGTTATGCCCCTTCCGCCTTTACGCGACCATATTTTTCTCTTGGATAGAATAAAAGCAGTGGACAGGCCGGCATTTAACGAGCCGATCCTCCCGACCTGTTGCAATATTCCGAGAAAACTTACACGTAATGCTGCCATTAAGTAAATTAAACCACTTAGATGTGACGAAGGAACATTCCGCGATGCACGTTGCACTGATCTTCTCGGGGTACGATGCAGTGCAGTTGGATTATGAGTGACTGTAGCTAACCTGCCATTTCACTCGTTGTCAATGTTACGGTTATTCCTCTGCATCAATCCCAACTGGCACTGTCATTAACACGCACAGTATTCATAAGCACGATTTTTCTCCTCTCTTTATATATTTCTTTTTCTTCTGGTTTTGCGGAGAATCATGGCGTTATTTAACATGACGGAAGATCTCTCGGGCAACTTGACTGTGGTTTTTAAAGAAATCTTCATCAACTAACCTTTGACGCTAACCGGCGGAAAAGTACTCTCCATTTTATCCCGTGATTTACGAAATGTCATTTAACGCTAGAGAAAAATTGTCTTGAGAAACGGCCACGTGACGTTTCTGCCCTGCAATTGACTACTTAATTTAATATTATTAACTGTGCGGTTTTGGGTGTACAATCAAGTGCAATTCCGCTGGCATTTCCGAAATACTTTTGTATAAAAGGTAGTTGAGATGATGCTGCGATGTCATACGCAGATGGATCATGCTGCTGCTAGAATGGGTGAGTAGAGTGATGTCAGGGATGATTGGGGATCGTGTTTTTGGTTAGTTGTCTCCTTTGGTGTATTTTTGTTGACAGCTGCGTTTGCTGATATTGATCAGCGGCTCTGCATCGGCGTTGAAGCGTGTCACAAGACAAGCGGGCTACACATATGACAGGCCGTCGGTGCCGTTTACATTACCTACACCAGCCCCACCGCCACCCCCGAGTTGTTGTCAACCGGGACAAACGCCATCGAATAGCAATTGCTATGTGTGTCAAACACCCGCACCACCACCTGTAACTTATAATTATCCTCCTCCCCCTCCCCCACCACCGCCGCCACCGCCACCACCCCCACCGCCGCCGCCACCTCCTCCTCCTCCTCCTCCTCCGCCGCCACCACCACCACCGCCGCCTCCTCCTCCACCACCGCCGCCGCCCCCTCCCCCGACCTGTTGTCAACCGGGTCAAACACCAGCAAACAGCAACTGCTACGTATGTGCGCCGCCACCCTGCTGTCAACCTGGACAAGTGCCATCAGGTACCGTCAGAATTGACCAAAAAATATTATTCTTGCGTAGCCGGAAAAAACGTTGGAGAAAAATTACCGAACACGTCAAGTAATCGTGAAGCAAACTCGATTTTCCGTACTTTTTCTAGGGCGGCCCACGAGAAAACTTCGTAGGGTCTCGCTCTAAAAAAATATGGAAATTTTTGGGACTGTCTCAGTCTCAAAAGTCATAGTATCGTCTCCTCTAGACACCACTTCGAGATAGTTTGTCACAGTCTCCAATTGTGGAGTCTGCATTTGGCTCAAGAAATTAGTCTCGTGATGTGAGAACGTCCTCTCTCTCTCAGTATCTGCGATGTGTAAATGTATGAGATATTCCCTCGTGCGCCCATATTATACGTATCTGCTGCCAAAAGAGTAATGTGAAACATATGCTACATACATGTATCCACATCTATAATAATAACATTGATGTAATGCATAATTAGCGTGCACATTACATATTGCATTATTGGCGGTTCATACAGGTGATATAATTGAGATATATGTCCGCACAAATATTTTTATGCAGAAAAATCTAGCGAATTCGATAGAAAATTTCATTAGATTTGTATTAACTTCTATTGGACATTCTATTAGTTATTACCCGATTCTATTAAAGAGTTCTGCAGCTTTACTGCGCGTTTTTTAATAGAAAATATTCAAATGAAACTATTTTATAGAAAAAATCAGTAGAATTTCATCGTTTTATACCACTTTTTCTATTCAGACATTTTCTATAGGAATTCCTCAACAGGAATTATTAAAGTTTTTTCTCCACTCTATTTTCCATCTCTTTTCATAGACAAAAATCAACGGAAAACAACGTAGAAAATTTAAGTCGAAAAAATTCTGCAGAAAATATCGCCTCAGAATAAGCGGTAATAGTTGAATAGAAAATTCTATAAAAATCCAATAGATTTTTCCACCGAATTTGTAACGGAGATGTATTCCAACCACAGAGTTTAATTTTCATTTCTTCATTTTCCAGGTGGCAATTGCATGATATGTGCAACGCCAGCACCGCCGCCACCTCCTCCCCCACCGCCACCTCCTCCTCCTCCACCTCCTCCACCACCGCCACCCCCGCCGCCGCCCCCACCAAGTTATTTGCCGCCACCGCCACCGAGTGTTTCAACCCCAGCGCCTACGTACCTGCCTCCCTACACACCTGGTAATACATTAATTTAATTGCTCAATCCAGATCGTATTATAAACTGTATTTAAAGGAGATTTCATTCAAGACTGATTTCAACCATAAATTTCGTTGGTAATTTTCATATCTCATTCCCATCCTTTAATGTCTACGCATTCAGCTCTAACATTCATGTTCTGCCTGAGTGGCCGTGCCAACGTAAAATGCTCGGTAGTGCAGTAAATTATTTTCTTAATCATAGTAATTTCACCTTTGTACGATAAGGCGCGACGTACCTCACACCTAGGCTCATTTTTCCCCCCAACAAAGACTGACTCCTAAAGAATCATATTTCACGAGCCACGTGGTACTAACGGCCAAAATTCGTTCAGCAATGAAAACAAATGCGATCAAACCGCGCCGATTTTCACCTCTTCGGAACTCATTATTCACCATATCTCTAAAAAAACGTATTTTCTTTTTACTCCTCAAACTTAGCACTCAACCTAGTGGAGAGGGTGAAAAAACGTGACGCGCTTTGGTGAGTTATGAGTTATTGGTGAAAATACGGGCAATCAGGAATGCATTAATTCACAGCGTGTTCTCCCAAAACTTTTTCAGCTCCAACACCGAGGCCTCCTCCACCACCGCCGCCTCCACGACCCCCTGCGCCACCCCCACCCCCGCCCCCTCCGCCGACCTGTTGTCGCCCAGGGCAGACGCCGTCCAACAGCAACTGTTACGTTTGTCAGACGCCAGCACCACCACCTCCACCCCCTCCACGACCTCCTCCTCCGCCACCCCCTCCTCCCCCTCGACCACCAACTCCTCCTCGTCCTCGCATAACTCCTCCACCACCACGACCCCTACCACCACCCAGGACTTATCTTCCAGTACAACAGCCTCAGCCCCAGCCTTGTTGTCCACCGCAACAAACACAACCATCGAACAATTGTCGAGTGTGTCAACAACAACGACCCCAATACCCAGCACCCCCTCCCCTACCACCAGCGAGAACATATCTACCACAAGTAGGCTAACCCAAGAAATAACAACGAATTTAATAATCACGGATACTACGACGTTGTAATTAACAAAAGGATGTGTTTATTTGTATATACACTGTTTGTTTTTGTACGACATCTAGACTAATATGTGACTACAGTCCGTAGCGCGGCATTATATCAGGTAGACATTGCTCAATGTCAGTCTCATTACGTTTAACATGTAATTACAAATTAATGTTACAAATACACTTCTTCGATTCCTCTCTGTTGAAAGATCATGAATAGACTGCATGTGTGTCACAAAATTTCGGAAAAACGTTTCTATTTTCTTTCGAAATGTTTCTTACCCTGTGGATCACATTGAGCCAATAGCATTTGAAAACAGAATTATATGTTAATAATGAACCACAATCCTCCAGCAGTCCCTCCTCCCCGCCCTCGCGTGACTCCTTAATCACCGAGAGTACCTTTAAAAAAAATCGTCAAAAAAACCTGGTTACGTCAATTTTGGGAAAGTGAATTTTTGGTGAATTCAACTTTAGCCAAATTGAACTTCCGTCAACGAAACCTTTCGGTTATTATGCCGAACGCACCACTCTGAAGTATTTGAGAGGGATTGCTCATCATTTGTTATGTTTTTTTTGTGTCGTGGATATGAATAGTTGTGTTATTTATTACCTCATGCTTATGAATTTGTGGCAAATACCTCATTATCGAGACTCGATGGTGTTTACTCTGGATTATTATTGATGCGTTATTGATGCTCTATTTTTGTGTTTTTTGAATTCTTTTCGTGGAATTTTCAAAAGTTTTTCAAAGTTTCAATTGTTCAAATTTATTTTTCTTCAAGTTTTTTCACTCATCAAGTTGTTTTGACGAAGTTTCTGTGATGAAGTTTTTTTAACAGAAGTTTTCTAAACATGGACACCAATCACCATGCAGCCCCGGCCTCAGCCTTGTTGTCCATCACAACAAACTTAACCATCGAACAATTATTGAGTGTGTCGACAACATTTCCAATATCGAGCAGCACCGTCTCCACCAGCAAATAATAACAAATTCAATAATCACAAATAATACAACATTATAATTAACAAAATGACGTGTTTATTTGTATTTACATTGTTTGTTTTTGTACGACATTTAAACTAATATGTGACTACAATCCGTATCACAGCATTATTTCAGGTAGACATTGCTCAATGTCAGTCTCATTACATTTAAAATCTAATTACAAGTTAATGTTACAACTGCACTCCCTCAATTCCCCGCTGCTAAACGAATTATGAGTAGACTGGATGTCTACTTAAGTGTCACAAAATTTCGTAAAAATGTTTCTGTTATCTTTCCAAACGTATCTTACCCTGTGGCTCAAATTAAACAAACAACATTTCAAAACATAAAAATATATGTTAATTGTGAACCACTTGCGCCTTACGGACCGTATACCTCGTGTTAGCGGATTGTGTCTAACAGGGATAGGTCCAATAAACTTGAAGCTAATGTCGAAGAGTAATAATTCGGTATTGAGGAATAATGATTTGTAACCAATGAGAATTGAGATATTCACTTGGGTGTCTACTCCGGGCCAAACAGTGGAAACCGCCAGGAATATTTTCCTTTGTTTATGTTTCAGATAAATTTTCCCCTCAAACTTTTGAGCGGTGAAAATAATTACCGACTGGAAAGGCTCAATTCTCAATATCACAATCATTGATTCATTTCTATGTACAAAAACTACTCCCATCAGACATCATTCTCCAATTTACAAAAAAAAAAAATCTTGAGACATTGAAAATTCTCATCAAGTTGATAAAAAAATCTAAATCAAGTATCACAATTTTCTTAATAATCAAAACCCCAACTCATTACGCGTACTCAACTAAATTCAATGAAACTATGTACATACGGATTCTCAGGGACCAAGAAATCGCTCATAGGAAATTATTCCTAACGCATAATTATGAAAGAGTAAAAGTTAAATCTGCGAAAAAAAATGGTAACTAGATATTATTCGATCTTAGTCATTCCTCTCTGCCTTCTATCAACTTGTCCAAACAGTCGTAGGATTTCGACTGACCCATCATCCTGTAAGACAATTCAAAACATCTAATTAGTGCTCACAAAAGACCGTCACATTAGTAAAATTAAATGACTCATTTCGAAAGCTCTTGAATAATTTACAAGTAAAAATAATGTAGCCGAAGCTTCAAGTGATAGCTGAGGTAATTAATACCGCGTTTCCACCTCTCCCCCGCAGATGACATAATTATCTCAAAGACCCAGAAAGGCCGTTAACGACTGATTAGCCCAAAGACTGTCACCCAGCCAACACCCAAAATACTGTTAATGAGGCAGAAAGCAATGAGACTAACCTACATGTTAATGCGACTTTAATGTCCAACTAATAACCGTTTATGTGTCGTCTCCTTCCTGCCCACATGAATAATCATTTTCCCTCGTTTGGCAGCCCTGAACGTTTGCAGCGCTTTAGCATGAGTAAGTCCCTCCATCAATAATCCATTAATCGCAAGGATCTCATCCCCAGCCCTCAGAGTGCCCTCCTCAGCGGCCTGTCCGTCAGGCAGAATATCCTTGACAAAAATTCCCATCGTCCCTTTGCTGCTATCAGCCCCCCCAACGATAGAAAACCCAAGTTTCTTCTCAGCCCCCTTCTCCAGAGTAATTGTCAATAAATCCATGCATGCACTGGTGGCTCGACGTCCCAGCGACACCGGCGTTGAATACCGTTTCGTGGGCACTTGAAACTTCCTCATGCCAGTGATCTTGCGTGTGACACTCTCATTACCCCCATTATTACCCTCAGCACTGTCAATTCGATTCATCGTGACATTAGAGAGACTCCTGCCGTCCTTGGTCAGAGCCCCAATGACCTGGCAACTGGTCGCCTCACCCTCACGAGCATCCTTAACCTCTGGATTCGTCTCCACCGATGAATCCCTGAGTGTCCAGACCTCGGTATCACTCCTGGTGCGCACCAATGGGTCCCCCCAGGTGTCCCCCAACTCTCCGTCAAACGCAAACCTAGGCTCCCTGGCGATCTTCAGCTCCACAGGGCCAACACAACTTTTTAAGGCTGTTCTAGCTTCAGAGGCTGTCATCCCTCTGACCTGACGACCAGACACACGAACAATCTCATCACCAACATGAATTTTCTTAGATTTAGCAGCCTCCCCGTTGGGATCCAGCTTTGAAATGATGTAGTAAGGCCTCACCGCCTCCTGACGATCCACAGAAATACCCAAATTTCCTGGTTTGTCCACGAAGACCTTCAGTGTCTTCAATTCACGACGAGTAGGAAGCTTTGAGGTTGATGAGGGGGTCTTTGGAGTTGCCACTGGGCGTTTTATCTTGTTACATACATCGTCAGGCTCTGGATCCATTTTTGAACGAGTACGCTTGGGGCTGTAGTAGTGAATTGGATTCATCGATATGGATTTCAGCTTCGATGCTGGAGGACTGTCTTTGCTCGGTGAGGCTGCGTTGTCTAGGAGGTTTAAGACACTTACGTTCGAGAGCTTTCGGTTTTTAATGCTCGATTGGGATTTTGTGATTCTCTGGGGGGACTGCAGTCTCGATCGAGCGATCAGTGGCATTGGCTCGTCCTCAGGGGGGAGTTGGGACTTCGACGAGAGCTTGGACTTTGAGGGGGTCTTGTAGGCGCTTGGGTTTGAAATTGGATTGTTGTTGTTCTGGATTATCGAGGGAATGCTCGTGAAATTGTCCTCGAATGAGTTTACATTGCAGTCCATCAGGGCTGGGTTTAGACGAATGCATAAACCGTTCTGGAGGGCCTCGAAGGCCTCGTCGTCGCAGCTGTCGGTCTCATCATCATCAGACATAACTGTAACGTCTGTGCGGGTGGATATGTTCAGTGTTTCGTCCAGATTGTTTGTTTCGTGGAGAGGCTGGATTTTTCGGGGACTCTCAGGCGTCTCTGGCTTTGGGTCTGGGGTTCGCTTTGTGGGGGTGCTCACGGGCACTGGGGGGAGGGGGACATTTGGCAGGAGGGAGAGGTCGATGCCCTGGTAGTCCTCCGAGGTGATGGAGAAACTTCGGGGCTTCAGCATTGATGGGACTGACTGCTCACTGTCTGGGGAGTCTGCTCCTGCTCGGGTACTGTCGGAATCGTAGCCACTCTCGTCGCAGCCCAGGCGGAGGTTACACATCAGGTCGTCTATTGCTGATCCTGTGTAGGATTTTCGATTCTCAGTCCTGGAAGATCATGAATATTATTAGGAGTTGTCTACTTCCCTCTCTCCATGAAATAAGTTTCAACAGTAATAAATTAAACTTAAAAACTAAAACTTCTAAATGATTAGACTTGCTTGAGGAATAAGATTATAATGCACTCTAGTTTGTTTTTCAAATTCATTTTCTTCAATTTTCATAAGTAAAAGAAAAAGTGAACGTGATTTTTACTCTCTCATGTGTCAACTAATGATGGAAACGTTAATATTTCACTTTGACAAGTTCAAAGACACGTTTAAGATTCCGGTAATCAGAGATAATGTCATAAATGTGAGAAAACTCGTGTGAATCTCAAGTGCAAGTGAAGATTTCTCAGAAGCCTGTTTTTTCGTTCGCATTCGTCGTTTTTTTTCGTCTGCTATTATGACGACTGTTAATGCTAGACCAGTCTAGACAATCAGACACTCACCTTTCGTTCTCACCACTGCTTGCTCTGGCAGTGAAAAGATTTCTCTTTACATTACTGCCTGAAGGACTGCCACGAGACTGGGAGGATGAGTTATTTTTTCTCAAGTCTACAGGTTCCTTTCTACGGGATGGGCTGTTGTATGGCATCAATAAAAAAGCCATTAATTTTACTTTCATTCGATTGAATTGAAGAAACATTGAGAATTTTAAAGATACTTTACCTGTTTGTGCGAACTTTTTCGAGTGTCTCACGTGCCAAAGTACTCCCCTTCTCCGTCTTCAGGATCTCCTGATTTTTCAGAATATAATCCAACACTTTATGCTGCTCTTGAAGATTGTTTATAGCACGATTCAGTTGATCCTTTTTTTCTGCCAGTGTACGAGGATTTTGTGGCTCCCTCGATTGTGGCACGGTTCTCAGGGCTCCTTCACTCAGTGCTTTGTCCATTTTGTAGAGATTCAATGCCACTGGGTCTTCCTCCTGAATCGTCCCGCTCTTCGGTGAGCCTTCATTGTTACCGCCACCCCCTCGAAATAAATTTCTGAGGGACTCAACACGTGATATTCTCTTTGGCTTGGAATCTTTTGGGCTCTGAAAGGACCAAAACGTCACTTATCTCCCTAAATTCTCAACACTTTCATAACAAGATAGACCAGGAATAGATGTTTCTCCATCCCTTCCCCTCAAGTACTTCATGATCAATATGTAAATATCGTTGGGAAAAATTACCGTCTCCTCCTCAGTCATCTCGCACACACTCCGTCTATTGGGACTCCATCGACGTCTCCTACCTGATACCGAGAGTATCTCGGAGCTGTCTGATCTCTTCAACTGATCCCATCTGAGTCCTACTTTTCTTCCCCACGTTGAGATACCTGGTTAGAAAAAAAATCCACCGTTAATCACTTGATTTCTCGGGAAATTGCCTTTTACGTTCTAGTCTCGTGCACTTAATAAACGATGATTAATTAACCATGCCGAGATTGATAGTGAAAAAAATTACAGTAATTGCAATATTTCCCCACGAACCATGCAAACAGGCTTTTTCCACTGTGCAATTTTCCTTTTATTACCGATCTAACGCCGCGTATGTAAAAACTTACTTTTTCTCGTCGAAACTGCTGAACTCGGTGGTGGCATTTCTTCGCTGTTTCTAGAACTTTTCGGAGTAGATATTTGCTCATTTGCGCAGCTTTTTGTAACACCTTCATCCTGAGATAATGGAGTTGCTGAAACGAGCTGAGGACACGGATCATTAGGAAGTCTCTTAAACAAACGCATCTTGTCTGAAACAAGAAAAAAAAGTGACGAGTCCAGTTATTCCACCTCGTGCAATATCATAGAAATGAAGTTCTGTAATTACAGTCGATATGTTCGGTCGAGGGATAATTGGTCGTTTTATAATAAAAAAAGTGCATATCGAGAGATTGGCACGCAATGATTGGCGCAAGGATGAAATCGAGATATACATCCGAGAAAGATATCAGTGGAATACTTCCACGGATCACTTTCTAGGCATTCCACCGACGTTTGGCAATATGCTTCCTGCAAAACACAAAACACCGAGACCGGAGATCTCTTGCACTGCTGCTAGGAGTCGTAACTCTGACACAGACCGAGCACAGTTGGCTTTTACGATCCTGCGAGCACAAATAACTCCTTCGAATGACTTCGTGCGTACGAACCCTTTTCTCCCCCTCCTTCCCCATAACATATACCAGAGAATTATTGAAAATCGTTAAAAATTCCGGAACATGTCTCTCATTTAATGATCGGTTTCATCCTCGCTCTCACGACTTAGAAGTGAGAGTTCGCCAAATGTCCAGCGAAAAATGGCAACACGTATCAATTGCATAAAATTAGAGTGGGATTATGAATAGAAACCGTAACGATCCTAAACAGCAATCGAAATTAAATCGACCACGAGACAGATACCAGCCGGCGCAACGTCTGGCTCTTGAAAAGAAACAGGGTGTGTGAGCAACGACCAAAAAAAAATTATAATAAACCCACGTGCATGTTCTAGCCTGCGATGCATATAGTCCATGTACATGGCCCCAATCCACCTACTCGCCTCAAGTACTCACAAGGCTTCCTTGAAGATTTTTAACCCCTCGCTATGCTCAGAAGCTTCGCCTGCAGCACTGTCACACGTTCCACGCTTTAGTCACACGAACCGGATATAGTAATACGAGTTGTTCAAAATTAATATGTTTTCTCACCCATTTTTTTTGGGGCTCAAGTATGGGAACAACCGAAGAAGCAAACGGTCAATTCCCAACCGTCTTCCGGTAATCTTACGGGGGATATTTATACTGAAGAAGAAAATAAAATAGCTGCGGCGGCTTTTAACGCTTTTTCGTAAAAATTTTAGGGATATATTGATAGATACGAGAATAGGAGCTGCGGGATGCGTCTCGTCTGAATCACAGGAAGTTGTTGCTTCCGGCCTGACGTTATATTTCCGTCGCCCTCCCGGGGACCACCGACTACTGGCGCCTTCAGTGTGTAATCGTGGGTAGGAGTCAAACTGTTTGTCTGTACTTTAACTTACACTGTGCAGAAAGGCGGATACTCACCCATTACATTCCGTAACGGTTCAGGATCATAGGTGATGGCCCACGGAGATGCATTACAGTTATTTTCCCCCCCATCGGTCTTACCCCATTCCCTTCACTATGATTCTTTATCTTTTTGGATTTATTTTTATTCTCTGTAATCCTATAACTGCGTTCATGTACAAAACTGAAGGAACCGTAGCTCTCCCGTGTTCTTGTACCTCCTGAGACCAGTGTAATGGAACACTAGGCGGTTGCGTGACGAGTACTATATCGCTCAATCGCAGTTCCCCCTTCCCCCCTTTTTTCACTTTGATCCCCCTTTCGTATAAAAGTGTAGGTTATTCTTTTTCAACTTTTTTGTTGGGTAATAAATTTTCATTTGAATGGCAAAGGTGGCACAAATTTCTCGATCGCGATCTCACTCGGATTTGTGTCAAGAAGAGCGTTTGGGACAGCTTGTGCCGTGGATAGTTTTACTTTCTATAGTCCGGTTCATTGAGCGTCGGAGGGTCCAGACGGAGGCTTAATAAGTATCGATCAAGCTGATGGTGACTTTCGATTGAAAAGGCATGAATATTTTTAGTTGAGAAGGAAATGTCTGGACATCTCGACTGCGAGAATTATCTTGAAATGGGGATTGAGTTACAGAAAGTCTGACTGTACTTCGAGCGAGTGGAAATATTGTTTTAGGAAGAGGAGAAATTGAGAGAAATGTGGAGAAAAAATAAACATCAATGGTTTCAGGACAAAGAGAAAATATTGTTTTATGGATAAATTAGAAACTGAGACGAAGTCTTGAAGACGATAATTGAATAGTTTTTCTATTCTATGACCCTCCGATCCTCGCGTGGGGTGTAGGGAACACTTCAGACTTCAGACTATTCTTCGAACCCTCAACCGGTCCATTCCATTTTCTTCTCTCTATTATTCCTATTTTCAATAAGAAAAACGCTATTGCGAAACTTGTTAGGAAATGAGGCGAGTACTGAAGGGACCATCAATGAAATAAAATAAATGTCGCCGAAATCACCAGGAAAAATTGAAAGAGGTCAAGCACTCCATAATTAATTTATTCAAATACATAAAAAAAATCATCAATGAATATTCATACTAAAGAGAACAATCAAAACACACAATCCACAAATACCACGACACCCATAATTATCGAGAAATCCTCTCATTAAATATGTTATAATAATCGTCGAACGTATTCTTGAGTAATTCAAAGGTAAAAATTACGTGCTAGAATCCAGTGAATTGTATCACAAAACAGCCCGAGCGAATGCTCGAGTGCACGGAATCAAAGCACGCCCCGATTAACAAAGAACTTCTCGAGAATAAATTATCCACAATTCGTGGTATTACCGTTCTTTAATTGCCACTGTCACGGCCCCTGGACTTTTATCCAAACCGTCCTACTTGGTACATGCTCCCAACAATTTTTACCCTCTCTCATTATCTTATTTTCGTTCGCCATATTTTTTCCCCCTTTAAGGTATTAAACGGACGCACGCCATTGCGTAATGAATCGGCCGTTTATTTACGAATGCACACGCATTTCCATAAAAGGTCACGTTAAAGACCAAAAGAAAGGGAAAAAAAATTGAGCGTAAAAAAAATTGTCTTTCAATTCGTTTTCTTTTCATTCCGGTTTTTCCGTCTTAACCTACCTACACAAAGTGTCGAGACCGTGGGCTACTAGCGCCAGGTAAATCTATGAAAAAGCTCGCGTAGCGTGGGAGAAAAATTGTGGATGAAAAATCGGTACACGATCGACAGCTGTCCTCGAGTTGGTTTTTCAAAGAGCTTTAGGAAGACCTTTTTGGCAGGTTCCCATGGTCCCAGCAGGTATAAAGAGACCCCCAGCGGGGGTCAGGTGTGGGTCTTCCCCCTGAACAATGGGCATCCCTCCCTCTCCCTTCCTCCTTCGTCGCCTCTCTCTATTTGCACCCCGAAAAACGTTTTTGGCTTTTCGTTTTCATTATAATTAAGTAGATTCGATCGGAGGGTGCGCATTGTTCCTGCTCAGGTAAATTCCCATTGTATTTGCCATCGACGTTGCAATATTACAATGGTAATATCGGCTTTATTATGAATTACCTTTCGGGGAATCGGTTTTCATGCGTTTGATGGACTACCCGTGTCCCATTAAATTGGAAAATCTATTAGGGAACATGTGTTACTCGTGAGTGAGCATTTGTCATTGGGACGGGGATGGGCGAGGTGAGAAGAGTTTGTGTGTCAGGAGACGGGATGATGGTGACCACAAGGAGTTTCGGTGAGAGGGGGAATGCGGAGAAAACGGGTTCGTTGGCCGATGGACGTTCTGCACTGTTGAAATGGCTTTTGGGGCTTATTTCTTGGTTTTATTTTGAGGATCAAGTGTCTGGGGACTTTGCGGGGGGTGACGTCATTGATATATTCGGGGAATTAAGTGGAGGGGGAGTGGAGGATTCTGAAGGGATTCAGGGAATTTATTTGGGTCAGCGTGGATTCGGCTTTTCTTGAGATTGAGGATATCCGAGTATTTTCTACTTTTGTACAGATCGCATTGTATTTTTGTATCGCAATATTTTTGTGAACTAAATTGCTTGAGAACAATTTGAAACTTTGATGGATAATTCGTCAGGCAATAGTATTTTTTCGAACTGTCGCATGAGATAAATTGTCACTTTTTGAGCATTTCCTCTTTAGAAATGAATAAATAACATTTTGCAGACTTCCAGAAACTTTACTTATTAATTATTTCTTCGTAAAATGGGGACTAAATTGTTAGACTGTTGGAAATTTCTTAGAATTTAAATAATAGTTGAATTTGAATTTTTAATATTGTGAATTCGAAGTGAATTTAATATCCAATCGTTCACGGAATTTACGATTTATCCTGGAATTTCAACAAAAATGAGGTTTTCATGTTGAGTGATTATTGACATTTCAACAGCGGCTTGAATTCTCAAACTCATTGTGCAAATTAAACATCATTTGATGTTTTTTCAATGGATTGATAATTCCGAACAATAATTACTTGAATTTTCACAATCTTCAATAATATGCGTTGTCATATGAATCTGAAAATTGCCATTTCGTGGAATACTTTTGTAATTAGCTCATTTTTCAGTAACATCATATTTGGAAAATGCAGGTGGATTAGTCATTGTAAATAATTTTACGATAATTTATTTGAAATCCCAGAATTATTTATTTCCTAATAGTGTACGATTTTTTTAAAAATGGTTTAGGGAACAATTTTCTGTTCGTGAACTACTGACAGAGACGGGTAATCTTCGAAAATTGCAATTTTTTGGCGGATCTTCTTCAAAAAATAAACTTCCTGTTTTTTATGATTCAAAAAATATTCCTTAATGGTAAAAAACGAGAAACTAATCTAGACCTTCAGATTTAGAATGATAAAATAATCGTAAGATTCCATTAACCTCGGGTCAAATGAGGCTGAAATGGAAATGGGGTTCAACTACAAATGTTGTATATCCTTAATTTCCATTTAATTAACGAACACATGCATTCTATCTTCATTTACATGAATAATTGTTAAATAATCGTCTCAATCTTCGGAAAAAATGAGATGATTTACATAAATTAACAGTTACTTATTTAGATCTAATTTATGATAATAAGTTTTCAAATGATCGGAATAAATCTGGTGAAGTTACGGGGAGTAACGTAATCGACACACTCAGAGAGTCGCCGAGTATCAGGTTGAGTGAGGGATTTAATTGGAATCCCCGAGAATCCAATCGGGTCATCGTATCTCCCGATTTTTTGCGTTGGATTTGTCTTTCATCCAAGAATGTAATTAATTTTTCCATTCATTAGCATGAAAAATAGTTTGAATAATTGCTTCAATCCCAGGAAAAAATTATTTGAATCAATTAACCGTTGTTTCTTCAGATATAATTTATGATAATGACTGTTTAATCAATTTGCATAAATCCGGCAGCACATGCGGTTAACGAGCTTCCTCGCAACGGTTACATTTGAATTATTTGGAAACAAGAGAGAAAAATATGAAAATATTATCACAATTCAGGCACCAATGTTCCCACTCATTAGCTAGATAAAAAGATTCGTCCAATTTGAATAAAATCTCTCCGCAACCGGAACAAGTGCCGCCAGGATTTGCGTGGCGATGTGTACGGATAAGTGGTTTTACTTATCTAATTCAGGGTTGAATGAGTAATCCTGATTAGCAACGTGTTAAAAACGACAATATTAAATAGCTTTCGCAGTACTCTCGCGCCCCATTCGCCCAATTCATTGAGTTTCATCGAAAACCTCAAGAGGGCGAAATAATATTCTCGAAAAATCGGTTACCTCATTCCCCATTTATTCTGAATTGTCTCCAGACGCAAACCATTCACAAAAATAGTTTGAATAACTGCTTCAATCTCAGGAACGAATGATTTGAATCAATTAACCGTTGTTTCTTCAGATATAATTTATGATAATGACTGTTTAATCAATTTGCATAAATCCGGCAACACATGCGGTTAACAAGCTTCCTCACAACGGTTCCATTTGAATTATTTAAAAACAAGAGAGAAAAATATGAAAATATTATCACAATTCAGACACCAATGTTACCACTCATTAGCTAGATAACAAGATTTATCCAATGTGAATAAAATCTCTCCGCAACCGGAACAAGTGCCGCCAGGATTTGCGTGGCGATGTGTACGGATAAGTGGTTTTACTTATCTAATTCAGGGTTGAATGAGTAATCCTGATTAGCAACGTGTTAAAAACGACAATATTAAATTGCTTTCGCAGTACTCTCGCGCCGCATTCGCCCAATTCATTGAGTTTCATCGAAAACCTCAAGAGGGCGAAATAATATTCTCGAAAAATCGGTTACCTCATTCCCCGTTTATTCAGAATTTTCTCCAGACGCGAAACATTCAGACTCAAGGCACAACTAAACAACCGCAAAGGCCTCTCAGTGGTTTCGTAAACATTAGCACGCGAATGTTGCGACTCTTCAAACGTGGATTGAAATATCCTAGACTCAATGGGTCAAATCTGTTTACATGCGCTCAATACATCGTTATTGCTCTTCCCCTTCCACAATTTTTACCTACTGATTCTAGACAGACTGGAATTAACACCGTTATTCGTACAGACAGATGGAAAAAAAATTATTACGCCACGTTCTTGGATGGCTTTAAACTTGAAAAGAGACTGAGGTGGCAAAAGTAAATAGCGTCGTTAAATTTTGTATTTATTACAAAGACACGTAGACAATACACGCTGTGGGAGTTGCCATCGAGAATTTTCTGAAATTGCTTGTGCACCGCCCATCGGCACCCTTCCAGGTAATCCAGGCTTCTCGAACACTGCAATAAATTCGTAACAAATCCCCGGAAGACAATTGCACTCACTTCGGACTACATTCTTATTAAAGGGCATGAATCAGGATCCTCGGGGGAGTGCATTGTATGAATTTTCAACGGTTTATTTTCGAATTTCATGCCATCTTGATGAAACCCATTCACAAGTGCAGTATGATTATTCTTCTCTTTGCATAATGAAGGGAATTGTAATATTGAGGATAATGGGTATGTTGAATGGATCTAAAGTGCGCTCTAAATTAGAAATAACGGATTAATACGGGAATCGTGTGGTTACCGTTCGTGGAACATGTGCAAGCCCCAGAATGCAGTTACCCAGTGTTTTAGAGAATATCTGGGGAGTTACGTGGAGTACGTGAAGTAAGTGCAAAAAATCCCGATTCTTGCAAACCGAAATCTTCCACAATTCCCCAAAATAACCAAAACTGAACGAATATTTTGCACCAGACAAGAGAAAACATTTTTCGCCTGGAGAACAGCCGAATTTATTCATCTCCTCTGTTTATTCCCAAAAATCCGCGATCAGACAAAACGATAAATCTTCAACGGTAATTCCCCGCTTTTGTTCCCACCCTCAAAATCTCTTTGTTCCCCAGTCGAGAAAAATGAAGCTGAATAAAGTGCAAAATCAGCAGAACGAGAAATTAAAATTCCCCAGTAAGATAAAAGACGAGACTTGCGAGGATAAAAATAGCGTCTTCTCCAAATGACTGGGGTTCTTACAAAAAACGAAGCAGACCTCAGAATGTTATGAATTTGAAACTAAAAGTGGAATACTGATACCAAGAAAGCCCCGATAAAAATCAACGTACGTACAGCGCTGACTGAAGCCGGTAAACCTGATACGAGGATATCATTTGTCCATATAATAACGATCCTGCTCTGATCGTTTCTACAATTACCCAAGGCGACTAACGACAATTCTCCACGGCCCCGATTTAACGAGATCCTAACGAGAAAAACCATTGCGATCCAACAGCGAACATCGTCCTCTCACCTTCTTGACTAGATGAATCCTTGAATTCCCCTCGAGTATCGTTAAACCCCAGGCATAATCCGTTGTTCAGCTGTACAACACTCTGTCTGGTTACGAGAAATACTAATAATAATGCAGATAAAATAAACGAATGATAACTCAAGCGACTCAACTTCGATCGCGATTTATTTGACAACCCGGGATGAACGAGACAGCGGAGAGAATGTGTATTTTCGCGGCGAATATTCCGAGCGTCCGATCACCTTCGTCTCTGCCTCGATACTGAACGCAAGAGCGAACTGACGTTGCCCCGCAGCGGCAGTGCGAACCGACAATAGCGCTCGAAATGCACGTGCTCGAGTGGTGGGGGCAGTATTTTCTCGACGAGTCTCTCGGGTCAGAGAGCTTCCCAACTTGAAGGTTGCCGCCTTGTACACCTTCACTCTGTACCTATTTGCCAATTGCACTTTCGGGAGAATTTCGAGAGATGAAAAACACTCGTCTCGGAATTGCTATTTATTTAGGCCACGGGATACAAACAATGCTCAAACGGTTTTCCTCAAAGCTCCTTTTTATTTTTATTATCCCTTGTGGTTGATGATGTTTATGTAACGCATCGCTGCATTGTACGCGGAAATAAAAATTCTATTGAATGGTTAACAATGGTTCGATCCTCATAATACCATATTTTTTATTGATATTTGCATTTTGTGAAATTGCATACAGATTCGGGAGTTTTTAGGTGATTGGGAGGATTTGTGTTGGGGATTTTTTGTCTCAAGTAATGGAATGGATAATTGTAGTCAATTGCAGTCATTTTGAAGTCAAGTGAGATTATTGCATTGGATGCTTTAATATCCATAATTCAACATTTTTTTAATCGTATTGATGTTTTATGAAGTTAATAAATTGCTTCGTATAGTTTTGAGTTGGTTGTTTTGTTCTGTTCTCATGATTTATTTGAAATTGAAAAGAATTGGGGGGAGGAAAAATCGTTGTGCTGCACGATTGCATTGTCATTTGAAAAAAAATCACTTGAATCGTAGAAGACGTTTTGATATTGACAATTCAATTTTTGCCCCTTCCATTCACGTTTCATGAACTCAAGAAATGTATCCAACATTGTTCAATTCAAACTCGTTTTTCTGTTGTCATCCCCCCTTCACGGATTTAGAACTAAACGAAAAAATAAAAAAACGGTCGAAAGTAGAGAAAAATCGTTAAGTTGGACTACTGCATTGTCATGGAAAAGGAAAAATCATATTGTGAAAAACCTTTCGATATCCACTATTCAACTTTTTTTAGTTCCATTAATCTTTCATGAACTTTATAAACATATGTAGAAATATTCAATTCATTGAATCAATATGTTGCAATCAAAGGAATAATTGTTTACATAAAAATGATTTTTTCCTCACTATATTGTTCTTTGTTCCTTCTGTCCGTTCGTTTGAAGTGAAAAAAATGGAGAAAAGAGAGGGGAAAAATGACCAAGTTGGCTCGGAGGAGTATACCAGGAGCGGGACACTGCTCCGGGGCAGTAAAAAGAGAAGAGTATAACTGGAGAGACTCGAGGAAGCCAACAAAACAGGTTCTAGATTCATTCACATCCCATCGAGAAGAGAACCCGAGGCCTTGGACTCTTGCAAAAACCATCTCGAGTGTAGTTTTATGGTCGCGTACAGAAGTCATTGGACAGTTTTGTCTACAAAATTCGTAGAGGAATAATGGTACACTGCTCACAGGGAAAAAATTACAGCACGAGTGAGTTCGGAGTATTTTTTTTGTTATTTAGTTTCTTTTCTATTCCGCTGGATTTGATTTTACTCCACAGAAGGAAAACGATTATGTATGCCGACATAATCGTTATCTTCACTCACTAATCTGGAGTGTTACTGCTCGCTATGGAGCGCGTGTAGGCCGAGATGAACATTTGACGGGTTGAGAAATGCTACGGATATATAACGTCCTACGCGTCAATGTTTTTTTCATTCTTCCTTCGGGCTTAGTCGTGCGTGCATTACGTATCCGTGTGGTCATGATGAATTAGAGAATTCCGGGGTTTTTGATGGGTATCAGGACCCTCACTCATCGCTACCATGATCTGTTATGAAATTACGATTTATATTCTACCTTATTATCGGGTTGTAGAGATTTTTGTCACTTTTCCGTTGGCGATGAAAAAATAGCCTCAAAGAATCCATTAATAATTCGGGTTTTCACTCTTGACATAAAAAATTCTCAGAGATGTTATTTGTTTTGGGTGTCTAATCTCGGATCTAATATTTTTTATGACAATAATCCCTCGAGATTTTATTCCCCCGTTGATAGCATTCATTTTGGGAGTTTTTATTGGCGGCCCGGAATAAATCATATCCTGAATAATTAAGCACATTTGACTTGGCTTGATACCTGATTTTTTTGTGATCGAAGAGGTAATGCTAATACGTGAGGATTAATACGGCCAGGTTGTTGTGCACTGTTAGCCATCAGTGATACGATATTTTGAGTAACCTGCTTACTGACTTATGCTGTTACCCCCTCGGTATGTCGTCAAGTTGAAAATTTATTTTAATTTATTCTTACCCAGCTCCAGGCCGCAGTCCTGCCTACGACCTGCTACCGATTATACTCTGTTGCACCTTCTTCCTTGGATGGTGCATTACACTGGCATCCACCCATTTCCGTTTCAGAATGGAAAAATCGTAACCCACGTAACACTGATTTTTTTGTGCTATAAAAGTGTTTAAGCTATTGACAAGAACAAATAACATTCGATAATATTATTGAACTATATCACTTGCATTTATTATACTCCAATGTTAAAAAATTATCTTGTTTTTTTTAAACGTCAACTGACTTCCATAGATATTGTTATTGTGTTATACAAAAATCAGTTCAGTTCTGGAATTAGAGAAATAATTAACGATAAAATGGAAAACTCGAATTTGTTGAACGAATAATAAATTACAAGAACGACTTGACCGTAGATTGAACTCAAATAAGAATGAGATCATCGTTTCTGAAGAGACGAAATGTATGATCCTACGACGAATGTCCAATCGATAAAATAATTGAAAGCTCGTGAAATTCATTGAACTATTATTCTTCTTTACTTTCTCTTTCCCCTTTCGAACATTGTGTTTCCTCCATGTTCATCGAACTATCAATAATTTGACAGTGGAAACCCCAGAAGCCCACAACCTAAAACTAAGTTCATGAGGAAACAGAAATTTTTGTTTCACTAAAATATGGAAACTTATTTATAAAAAACATGATATAAACAATTCCAAGAACGATTTGAACTCAGATTAAATTGAAATTTATCAGAGTATGAGATGATACTTCCTGGAAAGACCGTCTGTAAAGTCTTCCGACGAAACTCCAGACGCATGCTATCAAATGATATAAACATATGACAGAACCTGACGTGAAAGAAATCAACTGAGAGCCTGTCGTCATTGTGGCGCCATTATTCCTAACACATTTAATCAATAAAATGTCAAGCAATTGCTCATATAAAACTGCCTTTCTTCAATCCACCTGGCGTCCACCAAACCGCTATATCCAGCAACGAAATTTGTTGGGAATCAAAATAACAGTTACTAAATCCCCAAAGCCAAGCAAAAAATCCCCAAATTTCCCTTTTCCGTTAAGAGAACGAAAAAAAAACCGAGTGACTCAGCGACCAAAAAAAGATGAAATATGACGGAAAATTATGCATTATTCAGACCCAGTGATGATTTTCATTTTCAATTAAAATAAACACAATGCGAATGGGGAAAATCCCCGCGGCTATTGCCCCAGCCCCTCCATCCCTCGTAGAGGCCGATTTTCAAATTTTATTTTCGAATGGTAATATTTTTTTTCCTCTCCCTCCCAGTAGTGTGTTATGCAGGGTCTCGGCACGCGAAATGTTACTCACATACCATAAATAATGCAGGCTGTTCCGCATGAATGTATCCGAGAAAAGTGGTCACAGTGTAAATCTCAGGTATACCACTGGCGTTCCTTCGGCCTCTTCGACAGCGCTTTCTTCCCACAAACGTTGGGACGCGTATAATCCCGAATAGAAGGTTGGGCTCCCTCTCGGGGATTTCCGCCTACAACGGGGCGCCGTTAAGCCCCTCGTAAAATCCTCCCCAAATCCTTTATTTTTTTCTCCCATCCTCCAATGCGTGAAGAACAAAAATTGAGACAATGGAACAGCACCAATGGTCACTTCAATTAGCCGGCGTTGGGCAATGCCCAGTGGGGATTGTGGTTCCATTAATAAAATACTAATTAGTGAAGAAGAAAAAAGGGGCTCGTCGAGTGGCATAACTGTCATATGAGCAGGCAGGTGATGAGGCAGTGGGGTTAATGCAGACCCCACTCCCAGCATTGACCGCGTGAACGCGTGTCCGTCCGTCACCCTCGCATGCTCATGTAATACCCTCCCTTCCGTAGTTATGTTTGTGCGGTTGCGCATTCATAACTGTTGGAAGGAAACTGTAATTAATTAAATGTGAGGAGCACTCATCAACTCACCGCACTACGTGCTGCATCAAAACATTGAAATAGAGAACCGTTGATGAGACATATTGTTTAGACAGATGAGGTTAATTATAATTTTTGGCAAGCGGGTGGGACGAGGGTACTGCGGAGTTTATCGGACATTAAATCATTCTCACTCCTTCATTACGTAATTGCGAGGAAACGAATGGAGTGAAATATTTGAATGGGACGTGAACGTGATGTCCTTCATATTTGGACTGTCGAGGGGACGACTGGACTCTTGAAAATCATTTCAATGTGAAGTATTCTCAAACAGGCGGAGATAATTTATTTAATCAAATAAATCTTGGATGTTAGAGTTTATCTAGAGAATCGCAAATATTTCAGTTCGATCCAATTTGCCGAATGGCCGTACTGGGGATTTCGTAATGCTGAGAAGGTTGTTACCGAGTCGAAGGGAGCACCAAAACGGGAACACCGAGGAAAGTCCGCGGGATGCATTTAATTAAACCGATTGGCCTTCTTTGTTGTGAATATTTAATTCGTAAAAATGGGGAAGCGTACGGGCACTGGTTTGAACGAGAGTAACCTCAACGACTAGACTCGTGGATTTTATTCGTCCTGCATTTTTTCGAAATGGCTCTGACCGGCCGTCCTAATACGGCTGTCTGAGTCACGAGACATGCGGCAAACATCATTTGCGAAATCATTACGATAATGACACGTCGTAAAGGGAGTCGGAGTTTATGGGGATGGAATTTTATT